ATTCAGGAAAAACTGTGGGGCTGGAAGTTCACCTAGAACAGTAATGGGAGAGAGAGAGAATCAGGAAAGAAGAAACACTTAAACTCACTGAAAAATTATGAGGAGCTCTGTATATTGAATTTCTAACCTCTCTCGTGGAGATCATCTGCCTGCTTCATTGTTTGGAAACAGCAATGACTTTCAACTGATATTACTATTGATTAAAATATGTCACATTTTATGTTCTGACTTCATTTACGTGATCCATGTCTTACGTTCAGAAAGTTAGAATGTTTCTTTTACATGTGATGCTAATGAATGTTGCTTGCAAACCTACCCAAGTGGCCATTCATATTACAGATGCATCATCTCTTTTGCAAGATATTCAGTGTCCCAGGTACATCTAAGTCTTGGAGAATTCTAACCGGAAGCAGAATTCCTTGACCAGGCGTTCCTCTTGTGTTTATTATCAACTTTTTAGTCATCACTAGTCGCCCTAAATGAACTGCTACAACAGTGCCAAAATCACACAGACGAGCAGTCATGAGAATTAAACTATGCTAGCAATCAGACAAGCAGGGAATCGATAGAAAATAATCTGGAAGATAAAAAAAACGCAAATCTATATCTATAAAGATCAGCTCAACAACCATTGCACTGGGATTAAGCATCTAGCGGGCAGCATTTCAGATCAGTATATCGTTTTTTAATTTGCCCTTTTTAAGAACGAAAGTGGTAAGTGAGCAATATTTCCCTTCCCAAAATTTTAGGATACTTCCTAGCACTACCAACCAATCAAAGAATACTGACCCTAATTTCTTTTGGGCGAAGGAGAAAAACAGAAGATAATTAGAAAGCATTACAAATGGAAGATGACAATGTCAGAAGCCTCCAAATCCTATGAAATTCCCTGAATGAGCTAGGAAGATTGTGGAATACATTTGCAGACATTATTTGGAAAGACTGTAATTTCATACTCACCTGGAGATTTACATCGTCCTACATAGCTGTCAGCAACACTTTTGGCCAAACAACAGGGAATTACAAGCTGAGCCACTGTAATAAAAATGCATACATTGAGAAAGATTCAGGAAATTTAAAACATCCCCTTTTAAAAAGAAAATGTATTGAAATGAACGGACTGGTTCACAAATGAGTACATTGATAAAGTCCATAGCCCATTTGATTTGATTCTTAACCTCACTGGGACTACTAATTCAGATTTAGAGATGCCTACTCAGAAGTAAACTGTTCAAAGTGCAGACGTAAGGCTTTGTTCTGTCCACATCCAGAGCAGATCACATAATGGCTTAATGAGCACCCCAAAATAATGCTACAAAGTACAAAAAGCATTACTTTTATTCCATCATTGTTAGAAATCACCATTTCAAGTTGAAATAATATGTCATCACTTCTTGGAAAGGTCCAATTCTCCAATTCCTTATAGTTTACTATGGGGTGGAGGTTACCTGTTCAGGAGCCAGTTCCACAGAAACACACACTCACAGGCATACATGCACATACAGCCTCATGGGGAAAATTCCCTCAAATAAATCCCCTCAAATAAATGGAGAAAGAGGTTTCTCTCCAAAAAAAATATTCCTACATAGTCTTGTTCTATAAGGACATGGTTTCTTCCAACTCACAGAAAAGGGAAAAGAATTTCATAATTGATGTGTCACTCTTCAAGGTTCCAGCATAAGCAGCTGGTTCATTCTGTTTTCCATCTCTTTGCTTCAGTCACAAGCTGCTGGAAATGGCTAGCTCTTTTGAAAGGAACAAGACCATCAACCTATACTCAGCCTTCAATTGGTCGTCAAACCTTGAGCAAGGTCATCTGGTGTATTCTTTGCCTCTGCCTGCCAAGTGCAATCTCTTAAATACTAACATGAGGGATAGAAGCAAGTTCCTTTCCCTATTTCATCTCCCCACTCTCAAAAATTCTGACCTCAACTGCACACGGATATACACAAACCATTTTAGTTCACGCTCTTCTTTCAAGTCATACACTGTGATGAAAAGCTTCCGTTTGTGGTAGATAAAACCTCAAAAGATCATCTGTACTGCTGCAGACGGGTTTCACATCCCCTGATTTGGAAAGAATGAAGTTCAGCCAATTTCTAATGCTCGCTACAAACACAAATAATATTCACGACAAATACAAGTAAGCACTTCCATCCTTTAAGAGTTAGTCATCTCTTTCGATTAAGCAGGTTGCATGTGAACACATAAGTGGGACTTGCATCGACACTTGGTTTTCAACCAAAATCTATTTTTTACATCACGTTTTGGCCACCAACAGAACTAATAGGAGCTAAGGAAACTGTCTCCCACAAAAGACAGACTTTATCTTCCCTTTGCTTCCTGAGCTTTTACACACATGCACACGCACACACACTAAGGGTTTTGGAGAGTTCTCCCTCCACCCTCTGTGAGAGAAATCTTTCTGGAGAAAGATTTCATACATTTATCTTTTTCTGTATCTCTGCCTCCTCTGCCTTCTGCAGCCACACAGACAATCTTGGGTGCCCCAAGGATGCCACATATAACACCTCTGCTGCAGGAGCTGCATTGGTGCCAGTTTGCTTCCAGGTCCAATTCAAAGTGTTGGTCATCACCTTTAAAGCCCTACATGGCATGGGTCCAGGTTACCTGAGGGAGCATCTCACCCCTATTACATCAACCCATCCCACCTGGTCAGGCAGAAAGGGCATGTTGCAGACCCTGTCAGTGAGAGAATGTCGGCTGGTAAAGCCCAGGAAGAGATCCTTCTTTGCCGTTGCCCTTGCCCTTTGGAATATTCTCCCCCCAGAGGTGTGGTGGGCCCCTACCCTCCGTATTTACCCGTATTTATATTTATTTTAATGGGTGTAATCTCTTCTGTAAACCACCCAGAGTCACTTTTTAACAAGATGGGCAGTGACAAATGTGATAAATAAATAGATATTTTAAAAGGGGAAAGGAAAGGAAAGGAAAGGAAAGGAAAGGAAAGGAAAGGAAAGGAAAGGAAAGGAAAGGAAAGGAAAG